TCACTTAATCTTTACTTTTTGTGGTAAAACGTCGTTAAGACCAAATTGGCTGTCTCTCAACAGTTTTTGAGTGTGCAGTTCTGTCAGTGGCTACTTCTCACCTCTTTCTGCAGCTGTCAGTCTGCAGAGCTTTATTAGTGTCCCAGACCGACACTGTCCCTGGTGAACACTCACTCCCTAAATACCCTCTTCCCTGGGGTTCCCTTCCCACCCTCTCTTAATTTTTTTTTTTATGCTTGGGGGCCTCTTATAATGAAATTATACAGTGGTTGTCTCTCTGTACCTGGTTTAGTTCACTTCTGATGTCCTCAGAGTTCATCTGTGCTGTAGCAATGTTTTAGAAATTGTCCCTCTTTAGTGCTGAGTGATAGTCCACCTTGTGTATCCATTTATCTGGTGGTGAACTTTTTTAAGTGTTTCCAGTGTGTTTATTGTTTTATTAGTGCTGCTGTAATTGTGGGTGTGTAACTATTTCTACTTTGAATTCTCTTGTGTATACCCTTTAGTAGGTTTGCTGAATCAAATGTTAAACCTATCCATGTTTTTCAGTGATTGAACCATTTTCCATCTCTGCCAACAATGCACAGGAGCTCAAGTTCTCCATCTTTGGCAACATTTATTGCTTAAGGAAACAAACCAGGAACAGTCTAATGAATATAGAGTGGTTTTGACTTGTAGCCTTGGCTATACCTGTATGTGTGTAGTGTGTCTACCTGTTCCTGTGGGTGCATATAACCTGTTAATGGTGTGTGGGGGGGGGTTGCCTTTCTCAATTGTTTTCACCCAATCTGTTGAAACAGTCTCTCACTGAATCCAGAGCTCATCTGTTCAGCCAGGCTCTCCCTGTCTCCATCTCCCAAGCTCCGGAGCTCCACGTGCACCACCATGTTCCCCCGCTCCATGGGTTCTGGGGATCCACACTTGGTTCCTCATGCTTTCTCGGCGAGCCGCAGGCCACCTCCTTGCCCCTCAACGTCACTCAGAGTGGCTTTCACCACTGTTTGTTGTATTTCTCCTTAGAGTCCTAAGGATGTTTCTCACGTTCCTGCCACTTAACAAAGCCTGGAGTCACAGCAGGAGTGGCAGGGTAAGAAGGTAGCGTGTTCAGTGCCAGGGAGTCTGCTTCACACGTTAGATTTAGTGTGTGGTGACCACAGTGGAGTCCCATGCGAGCCTTCCTTGCTGCACTCTGCTTCACTTTTTAAAGATCTAGCTATCTGGTGAGCTGCAGACACGAAACAGCATCCACTGCAGGGGCTAAAGGAGATGCCCTGGTGAAATTCCTCAGCGCTCTGTGGCAGTGCTTCTCAGACAAGCAGCACTGTCTTTGTCAGCCACAAAACTTGCTAGAAAGGCAATGTACCAGGCCCCTCCCCCGGTGATCCTGATGCTGGGACCTGAGAAGTCCTGCCTCGTGGCATGGAAGTTTGTGGGAAGCCACCTGAACACTGTTTATTTTATGGTGAAATTATAACTTATTGGGCGTAGTGGCTCACAACTGTGGTCCTAGCACTCACAAGGCTGAAGTAGGATGAATATCAGCAAGAGTTTGAGGCCATCCCGGGCTACATGGTAGGTTCCAGGTCAGCCTGAGCTACAGAGCAAAGCCTACCTCAAACAAACAAAGCATGTCCTTTAGTTACAAAAGTGTTGTCACACTAATGAAATGCATACTTGGTGTTGCCTATGGGTTACCTTTAGGCTTGTGGAGTAAATAGAGGCTTGAGGCTAGAAGATAATCTGTGTAAACACAGGTGCTACCAGCTTTGGTGAAAACACTTCAGTCAGTTTTGACTTAAAAATGGCATACATCGGACACCCAGGGGAAGTGAAGTATGGATATTAATCATTACAGCCCATTTTACCTCTCACGCTTGGTTCTTCATTTAGATAAAATATGTTTACCCTACTGATGTAGAAAGAAAGGTATCCATTTCCCAAATGAAAAGATCTGGGGATTGATAAGGGTTTGATAAGAAGCCGAGAGACTGCCCTCTCTTTGGGATGGAGAGCATATCAACATTAAGTGCAGCCCAGAGATGGCAGAGCTCAGTGGTCCCCAGATCAGCATCAGGGATGTTATCTGGGGACTTTACAAGGGAGGTTCTCGGGTCTGCTCCAGAAACAGACACTCACCCAGGGCAGAACCTGGCCATAGAAAAAGAAGAGAAAAAAATCTAAAATCTAAAATACTTCTTAAATATTTGAGAGGCATTCTGGACCTGTAACATGAAGGGATGTCTACTGGTGTAGCTCATTTTCAGGTTGCTTGAGGGAACATCTCCTCGATTTGAATTAAGAACACTCCAGACTCACCGGCACTGCTGCTTAGCATGAGTTGATTGTGTGTCCTTGACTTTCCAGTTTGAGCTCAAGAAGCCCATGAAATTAAAAATCCCCTTCCCGGCTGCATCATTTTACTGCCGCGCGGTAACAAGCCCACACACATCATGGTGTCAAATTAAGGATCTCAGATGAAAAGCAAATTTCCCTGTTTGGAAAGTCTTATTAATTAACAAATACCAGACACATCATATGCCTACTACAGTCACCCCCAGTTACCGCCCCTGAAAACAAGGCTTCGTTGACATGATTGGTTAAAGAATCATCTTTCTGGCAAGCTGTCACAGGGAGGACACCCCAGCTTAGCTTAGAAAAAATATACTTGTAGAGTATTAATAGTGAAGAGCCTGGAACTAAAATATAACCCCCCATAAAGAGAACCTGGGGCCACTGGGAGAGAGATGAACAGCTCCCAACTTGTGTGTGTTCTTGTACGAAACTAATGACTTCCTGGTGACCTTAGTGCCCGTGCCTAGGCTTGTGAACAGGCAGTATGTGCCTGTTGGGTAGTAGCTGTTGCTTACTTTCCAAGTGGGCCACAGAGCCTACTGAGGCTAACTTGTTTCCATCTGTAGCTATCTTGGTTATCAGGTCAATGGTTGGAATATCACTGGTTACATTCAAGTTTAATACTGGCATCAGAAGGCACCAGCAGTGGTGCTGGCAATTTGAGTATTCCAAAAGGCATCAAACTGCAGTTTGCAGCATTCATGGGTATCTGTTGTAGATGGTGCTGATTAAGCTAGTTGGCATACTTCTAACTTGTATTCATCTATAACTGTCTTGGTTACCAGTTCCATGGTTGGGATAGCATATCACTTTGCTCAAGTAACCATATTTATACTGACACTAGAAGGCAGGATCAGTGATCCAAAAGAAAGCAGCTTTCAGCATCACTGGAGTTCCTGGAGCATAAAAGGGTCTCTGTGTTGTAGATGTTGTTCATGGGGCCAGTTGGCATGCTCACCTGTGACGTCAGAGTCCATGATCCTTTGAAGAAAACGTCAGGTTCTGTGTCTTATCCACCCAGGTGCTCATGCATGACCCTGATACTAAAAACCTATACTCTGAGGCCCATCTCTTGCTGGGCCTCCTGCCTGCCATCCAGCCCTGGGCGGAGCATGGAGATGTAACATAAATTCAAACTATCAATTGTCTTTCCTTTCTTCACACATCAGTGGCTGGTGGCTGAGCCTACTGCCCCAGGCTTCTATCCTAGAATGGCCAAGGGCAAGCATGGACAACTTGTCTGCTGTTCTTGCCCACCCCATCAGATAAACTGCTGGGCTTTGTGAACTTCCCATAGAAGACCCGATGGAAAAGAGGGCTAGTTCCTGGCTCCTGAGTAGCAGCAAGTCCCCAGGGAAGGCAAAAGCAGGAGCAGGCTTCAAAGGTCCTGTCATGGGTGTGGGCTTACTGCTTCAGGGTGAGTCCTGAGGTGCAGCCTGACCCTGCCCAGGCAAGCAGGCTTTAGAGGGATTTAGAATGTTTGAGAATATCCTTTAGGGAATGGCTAACTAGAGGACAAAGGACAGTTCAAGAACACCGTAGGCGGAAGTGAAAGGGTCCAGGAGTGTGAGTCTGTTCACTTCCTCCTGAGCCACACTGCCCCAGTGCTACAGAAAAACCAGTCCTCCTGTCTCTACAGTATGTCCCATACACACTGCCTGCAAAGCCCGGCTGCCCATAACTTAGTTCAGCTCCTCTGTAGAGTCCTCTCCTGGCTCCATCACAAGTGTGCAAATAGATCACAATAGTCGCATGTACACTCATGTATCCACACACACGGATGTACACACGCTTCACATTCCACAGCTTTCACAAATGCACTGCTCCTTCATGCACTCAAAGCACACACCTAAAATTCTGTCCCCCAGCTCATGAACTCACGAATACCCTTTTTTCTTTATAGAAGGTAGCATGGTTTGCAGTCGTGGACTGACCTCCATACTCGCCCTCCTTACGGGTGTCATTTAAAGAGTCATATGCCCATAGGCAGGGCATGGGCTGCCTGGCACAACCAACGTTAAGTAAACATTGAATCAGTTGATACCTTTCAGTAGCCTTCCTGTTGACTTTCAGTAAATGTACGGGGTGGCCAATTTTACTAAAAATGCTAGCATATGCCAAAATATACTCAAGTCAGTAAGGAACTGAACTCATCACAGAATTTAGACTTTTCTCATTGAAATCTGCTTGAACCACCATGGAGCCATCTCTGGGACATAGCAGGCTGTTTAAAATACACCCAACCTATCCACTGCCTTGACAGTATCTATTGTTTAAAAGAGTTTAAATTCTAACAGAAATAAAAAGAAACAGTTCCCGGTTTCCCGCCTGCGTGAAAGCCATTTTGAATAATTCCCAGTTTGTCAGAAATAACTTGGGGAAATAGATATCTCAGGGTTCTTCCGCCTCAAGGTTGACCCCCCCCCCACTGTCATTCTCTCTATAATGAGTTCCTGCTTGTCAGAGAGTACATTCATCCCCCGAATCCATGTGAGGCAGAATTTCATTAGTGTTTGATTGCAAACTGGAAAGCCCTGGGCTGCCTGTCGGTCTGAGGACTGTGCATCTCTGGGTAAACACAGTGCTTGCTCAGGCAGACCCTCGGTGGTGTCTACCCTGCTGGTAACTCCCGTTTGCTTCCTCCCTAGCCCAGTGACTTCTCTGTGTCTCTCAAAGCGTCAGGGAGGAACAAGCACTTCAAGGTGCAGCTGGTGGACAGCGTCTACTGTATTGGGCAGCGGCGGTTCCATAGCATGGACGAGCTCGTGGAGCACTACAAGAAAGCCCCCATCTTCACCAGCGAGCACGGGGAGAAGCTCTACCTCGTCCGGGCCCTGCAGTGAAGGCAGCCATCGGCCTCTCCATGCCCTGCCCACTGTGGGCCCTCGCTGCCACCTCCGCCTCCCAGAGCCCAGCGCTGCCAGCCACCTCCACCCACGCAGCCTGGATCACCTCCGTGGCCCAGTGTGTCTTCTGCAGCCCTGTCGGTCAACCATAGACACCCAAGCCCTCGTAGCCACGCCCACAACCACCACCTTCTGGCCACCTTCAGGTGGTGAGGGTCAAAGGGAGCAAAACTGCTCACTTTTTTCCTTTATAATTGGAAGCAGTCTGTTGAAATCACACACACACACACACACACACACACACACACACACACACTCACAAAGACTGGGGCTTATTCGGAGGGCAGAAAGTCTGTTATGTAGTGAATAGCACACTCTGAGAGCTGTGTCCATGGGTGCTTGGTGCCTCCCATCAGCCATGCTGGTCCAGGGCCTGCAATTTTATTTTATTTTATTTTATTTTTTGGCTGCAGGCTCTGCAGGAGTTCAAGAATGTGCGGATAGCAATACTGGAAACCCTGGGGAGGTGGTGGGGAGGGACCTGCCCAGTGCCTTTGAGGCTGTGCTTGCAATAAAAGAGGGTTGTTTTTTTGTTTTGGTTCGGTTTGGTTTTTTGGCCTGCAAAAGAGGCGACTGCAGGAAGAAAGAAACTTGGGTACTGTACCCCCGGTGTGCCATCCGCATAGTGCTCTTTCCCTCCTGCTCTTCGGCTTGTTTGAATTTCACAGTTATGTATTTAATTCTCAGAGTAATATGTATCTGTAGCCGTTTGTTGACACTAATAACAGATGATTAAGGAAAACAGCTGATCTCTCGGGATGTGAGCTACCAATACTTTATAATACACACTATATATATATATATATAATATATGTATATTATATATATATTATTTGCTTTACAGGGAAACATTTTTCAGGGTTTACAAAAGAGTATGTGATTGGTAGTAACAGAATGTTTATGAAGAAATTGCATTTTCTTTTTTTTTCTTTCCATTTGAACTTCTTTATAGTTTGACTATAGAGTCTTGAGATGGCACATTCCTATGATTGAAGAAGGGGTCTTGAGATCCCCTAAACTTGCATACCCAGTTTTTTGAATATTGTAATAAAAAAAAAAGTATCATGACAAAGCTGTATGTTTGTGTTTTGGAAGACCTGACTCTCTTCTGGGGGACAGACGACTGCAGGGGTCACAGGGAACCCATCACAAAAGCAAGATGACTTGGTGGGTGCAGTGCCTGCTACCCAGGCATGAGGTCCTGAGTTCATATCCACCCACAGAAAATCAAGTGTTGGTCAGATGTGTCTAACGCTAGCACTAAAGACAGCCTCAGAGCTCGCTGGTTAGGCATTGTAAACAGTCCGCGTGCACTGACTTCAGTGAGAAACTCTGTCTCGAACGATAAAATAGTAGATGGCCCCATGGTCTCTTCTGGTCTCCAAGTGCGCATGGCATGGACATATTCGCAAATTCACATGTATCACAAAGACAAATGAGAGTGAGCGCTCTCAAAAGAGCTTAGTACATTGATTGCTTGTGCGAGGGTTGGGGATATGCGTGTGGAAATCAGAGGAGCTGGCTCTCTCCTACCTTTCTATGGTATCTAAAGGTCAATCTCAGGTCATCAGGCATGCACAGCAAGCACGTTTGCCCACTGAGCCATCTCACCAGCCCCTATTGTCCCCATTGTTGTGATGAAATGCCAAGTCTTAGTGGCAGAACTCCAGGAGAACCCAACACATCAAGCTGGAGGTTCCTTCTTTGGAAATGAGTGGCTTACCAGTATGAAGTTTACAGAACTGCTAAAGCCGCAGTCCTCTGGCTGTCTATGGAAACCTTGCTCTCTCGATGAGTATTTGCTGTTCAGTTGTCTACTTTGCCAAATGCAGGAGTGTGTCCTCTGTGCGGGCTTGGTGTCATCTGTTAACTCGTCACAACCCTGTGCAGTGACCCAACTGACATGCTCATTCTAAAGGTGAAGACAGGTTTGAAGTCTGTTCACAATGCACATGGCTCCTCCATGGGTGAGCAGGAACCCTGACACAGAACTGTACCCTAAGAGCCTGTCCTTTTATTGTGTATTTTAGTCACTTGAGGTTGTGTGACTGATGACTGAGGTGGGGTCCACTGGTTATAGCAAACAGGCCTTCATTCAGGTGAGTGGCACAGGTCATTACCATAGGCATCAGTTCTCACCCGTGGAGATGGCAGAAGTTGCCTTGGACTGTCATGCCGCCCCTGCTGGGTGTTATCTTCGGGCCTTCTGCCAGTGTGACTCAAATGACTGCACAGCAATTCAGGGAGAAGTCATCTGGGGGAGCTGGCATGGGCCGTATGTGTCTTTTTCAACCTGGGTTCTTCCTCAGGTCCATAGTCTTGACTAACAAAAACTATATAGGTAAACACCTCCCAGTGCCTAGGCCTGACCCCTATCCCCAGGAGAATATAGTGGTCAGGCCAGAATACTGAACAGTAACATACAGTGACCTCCATAGAGTGAGGCCTCTCATCTGACTAAGTGAGTCATGACCATTATGACCCAATTCTGGATTCCTATTCTGACTCTCAGTCCTTGACATCACCTTGCTCACATGGTCATGTTTGACCACCATCTGACTTTGGTGGACTCTTCCCAGTCTCTGAACTTCCTTGGGGGAGTCTTCCTAAGCTTCTGGCAGAACTCATGAGTTCCCTTTTAAGGTAACTAGGGTAGTGTTCTGTAGAGTTCTCCGGGATGCATCACATCTGTGTAACGCTCCAGGCAGGAGCAGACTGCTCCCAACATCGTTCTTTCCTTCCTGCTCCCACTGTATGCTTTGGTCTTTAGGCTCAAAGGTTACTCTTGTTCCCAAGTTCCAGGAGACATCATGTCCACACCACCATGTGATGCTCCTAAATTACAAATCACTCTGCTTGAGGCAAGAGAAAGCACACCTCCCTGGTGTGTCATAGGTCAAGAACACTTCCCCATTGTTCCTCACCTGAATCTCTCCCTCCGAAACTGACTTCCTGGCCTTATGGGCCATGCTGACAGACCTTGCTCCATAGTCTCTGTGCTCTTTGATCTGAGATATGGTAGCCAATCTACTGCCTCGGGATATGACATTTGCCATATTCTTCTCAGCCTTGGTAACTCCTGCCCCTACCAAAAGCCAGAAGAGTTCAAGAAGTGTGTCCTGCCACACCTAGAAGTTGCCAAAAGGATAGGCTCTCAAGTGGGTATACCCATGAAGGCAAGTCTTTAAGTCTCCATGACAGGAGATCAATAGAAATGAATTTGTGTGAGAGAGTTCCTGACCCTCATGAATGAATCTGCATACAGGTGGAAGGAAGAAAATAAGGAACAAAGAATACCATACCTTTCTGAGAGCCCCTTCCCTTTACACCTTGGATTTCCATCCCAGCACACTGGAAGATGCCCCGAAGAAAATAGTATCCCAGGAAATGTACCAGTATCAAAGTGTTAGGTATGGACTAGGTAGGCTTCCATGGAAGAGTATTGTAAATCCATCTGGGATCTAAGCAAGAAGTCTATAGAGTAGCAAGACTCACCCAGTGTCAATAGAAATCACTGGATGAAGCTAAGTGGATCTGGATCTCCACCAATGGGATGTAGCTGGAAACATCAGTTATCCTTGCTAACATCCCCATGGGAGCCCTCAGGTTGGATCATAGAGCTTGTGTGTCTAGTGTCTTAACACCACAGGGACTCAAAGCCTTCTACACTGTCTATCTCCAAGTGTGTGAAGACCTGAAGTCATATTTTGCAAGACAGTACCCCTGGAGAGACATTGCTTTAGCACCTCAGGCCAAAGACTTGGCTCAGCTCCCCCTTAACCCCCCATCTCTAGCTGGATATTGAAAGTTCTATGTCTCAGAAAGAAGCTGCTGCTGCCTCAAGCTTGGTGATCAAAACATGCGACAGAGTAGTGTACCCATCAAGTAATAACTGATCAGAAATGTCAACACCTGAAAAATGGATTTAAATATCGCCTTGGGGCAGTATGAGTGTTGGCCCTAGAAGTCCCTTGGCTATCCTAACCCACTCGTAATTTTTCATTTTAAGCAATCTCAGGTAGGTCTCTACATGTAGCAGCAATAGAAAAGCAAATGCATGCAAGTGTCCCATTGGGTTAAACCATTACATCATCGGTGGACCTCTCAAATCTCTCTTAGATTACAGGCTCAGGGATTTTTGCCTGAACACCCGATGAAAATTTACAGCAGCTTCCTACCTATTTGAAACATTTCCTTTTCAGTTTCCAACACCCACCGAACTTCAGTCCAGGCGAGGGGCAGGATCCATTTCTGCTTAGTCAGCATTGTCCTTCTTCAGCCACAGGCACACTGACTACAACCCTAGGGATTCCTTCCTGTGAACAGACTTGCACTAAGGCTGCTCTCATAGTTGTTTCTCTCTGTCCCTAGAAGTCCCCTGGCTAAGTCCCTTGGCTAGAACCTAAACCACTGCTAAATAGAGTGACACAAAAGGACTACTGTGTGAGCTGTAAGTCAGTAGGAGGCAGTGGGGCCAAGGCTGACTCACCAAGTGCATCTGCCTGGGACCTGATTGGGCGGAGCTTCCTGAGTGCCATGGGTGGAGCTTCCTTATTGCTGATGGAGGTGGAGGGTAACAGCAGGGGCACAGGGATGGGGGGTGTTATTACTCTACTGCCCTGCCTCCTAACACTGAGCCATGGCTCCTACCTCTGCCTACTGTCCCAGCTTGTGTTTCTAGCTGCTGCATTGCCTCTTCCTACCTATGCAAAGGCCCTAAGGCCAAGCCCTACACACTGTAGCCTAATCCATGGCAGTTCTTGAGCCAGTGTGATCAGAATGGGGTTGGTCCATGTCCTATACAAAGTTTAAATTTGGAAATATTAGAGATATGGGCTACTGGGCATTTCCAATAATTAGTGTATCATTTCATAATGCACATTTTTTTCTCACCGCTATCTTGTGTAGTTTTATTGAGTAGCTTAATGGTTTTGGAATTCAGATGCCTTTTTTACAAGTGATGTCAGTATTAAATGAGATCATAATGAGATATTTAGAACAGAAGTTATCAAACAGCCACTATATGCAGCCTTTTTCTCATTCCTCACAGACACCCAGGGTTAGTATTCCCTTACCAAAGCAACAAACATGTAAAGCAGGAGTTAGGTGGATTGGTGAAGGTCACTAGGCCATTAAGACACAAATTTTATTTATTCAAGTTAAGGTAACATGGAGGTTAAGGACATAAATTTCCATTAGGTTGTGAACTCCACTTGTTGGAGGCAATTAGGAAAGTTATGAATACAAGGTGGTTTATTGCATGTAAAGCACTTAGAAATACTGGGCTATGGGTATTTTTACCCATAGGTCTGGTTGTGTGGGCTTTCCACAAACAGCTTCTTTTATGCACACCTGACATGGAACTGTCCAATGCTCAACAGTTAGCAATTTTTTTTTGCTTTTTCTTCAATATCCTTCCCTATATTAATATCTACATAATGCACATTTTTTAGCCACATGTCTGGGCAGTAGTTACGGGACAAGGCCAATGGAGCACGGCTAAGGTCTAAGTGAAACCCAGAATCTGTCCAGGTTTACTTTCTATTGCTGTGATAAAACACTGACCAAAACCAGTTTGGAGTGGAAAGGCTTTATTTCATCTTAGAACCCCATCACCTAGGAAAGTTAGGACAGGAGCAGAGAAAGCAGCAACCTGGAGACAGCTGATGCAGAGGCCATGGAGGGAGCGGATGCAGAGGACATGGAGGGGTGCTTCTTACTGGCTTGCTTCCCGTGCGCTGGCTTTCTCGGCCTGCTTTCTTGTGTAATCCAGGGCCACCTCCCCAGGAATGGTCATCCTGGAAGATGAGTCAGGTTAAGGACATTCTTGAGCCTGAGAAGTTTAGGAGTGAGCTAGTGCAGTTTCCTGAGACCCGAACTGAGCTACACTGTTATCACAGGTCACTTGTACACACTGGGCCACTGGAAAATGTGGAACATCTGAGTGGAGACATGCTTAAGTGTAAAATACATACCAAATATAGAAAGAATAGAAGCTCTCTCATACTATTTTATATTGATTGCATGTTGAAAGCATAAAAAACTGTATATGTTGGGCTTAATAATAG